TTTGGTTTAATTGTATATGTTTTTATTGCCCAAATTAGAAAAATGTGCATTTTGTTTTCGGCTTGTGTTCTTGGCTTTAATTTGATATTTTTAGCCTAATTTCATGTTATTTTGATTAGAAGCATTTCTGGAGCTTTATGGATATTTTTAGAAGGTGTTTGGATGAATAAATCAAGAGCTAATTAAATGATTTTCGTTAGCTGTAAAAATAGTGCAAAACTGTCAAAGTCATCCTAAAGTCGTGACTTTCGTTTGCGACTTTCACTGCTGTCAGAAAAATGCTGCGTTTCATTTATCAGAAATTAATTGGCTAGGATACATATAAGCTGAGAGCTTGACCCAGAATGGATTCTTCAGACTTTTAGACAGTTTTAGAGCTTGGTTGTGCTAGGGTTTGGGCATTGGAAGAGTTGGGATCAAGAGATTGAAGTTTTGAAGACATTTGGAGCTCATTTTCTTTGGTTTTTCTATTCCTCTTCCCTTTCCTCTCTTGCAATCTGAAATGGGTGTACTTATTTTGTATATTTATAGCTTGTGGATGATTATGAGTAGCTAAACCCTTTGTTCTAGGATTATTTGGAACCCTTGTATGGATTAACACCATATTTTTCCTCTCTTTTTGTGATTAATGATATATATGTGTTTATTTTACTCTTTCCTTAATGCTTCTACTTGATTGGCCACCATTCAGATGTTGGGTTCACTTAATTGATGCTTGAGAGGGTTAGGTTGAGTGTAGAACTTAGGTAAAATTATGTAAGAACTTGATATTTGCATGTTGAATGGATGGTTTTGCTAGTAAGATAGAGATATACTTGCTAGCCTTACATAACCACATTAGGGTTGGTGTTTAAAATTGAGTTTTATTAATTGTAACAAGAGACTGGGCAATTAATTTAACTAAACACTTGTTCATGACTTGAGAGAGCTTGTCCAAGTATTTTTAGAACCCTAAGTTAGCACTTATTTTCATTAAAAGCATTTATGAGAGGAGGTAATTTTGGTGTTATGAAATGCAAGGGGGACAATTAATCTTAGGTCTCAATTTGTGTTGGAAGTTTGTGAATCACTCACTTTCTTAATTTTCTCATGTTAGTTTCATTTGCAAAACCATTTCACCTAACTTTGTGTAGCTCAACTTGATCAAATTTACTTAGACTTTTGCTTGATCATTGTTTTTGAACAAATCTTCGAGGGAACGATAATTTACTTTCATTATATTACTTCCTACGATCCGTACACTTGCGGTAAGCAACACAAGGTCAACTACTATGATAAAAAATGATATACCATAATAGAAAAAAAATTAAACATACTAAAAAAGACCTGCCATAATCATTTATGAATTTATTAAGTTAATAAATGTGTATCAAATGGGATCCCATTCAAAATAAGTATTTTGAATTCAAAAAATTAAAATAAAACTAAAATAGCATTGAAGTAAGGTTCTTATAGAGCTATTTTATCCAAAAACAAGTCTATTAGAGGCAAAAGGATCCAAAGGGACCATTTTAAAAGTTAGAAATTTAACAAGGGCAATCATAAAAACTTGCATCATTACAGAGAGGGATGTTCACCCTCTGTGTCATGTGTCACGCAACATATGCTACAACACACGTTGCCATACTAGTAAAATGGTAGCATAAATCATAAATGTAAATTCTAGAATGGCATAGCTTTGTGCACGTATATCCAAATTGGGTGATTTAAGTGTATGCACAAAACTTATAACATAATCAAGTTACTGATTTTAGTTTGGTACAAAAATATCCTTAAATCACTATTTTATCCACAAGAACCCATTAGGGGTCACAAAAACATATTTTCCACATAATTCACCTCGCCAAACTAAAATTAAGGCCAACATTAAGGTGTTAACTACTTGACCATGTCACAAATGCATAAAATGACTTAAGTAGATCATCATAACAATGATATGCACTTAATTTCATTAATTGGATTACAGCCAGCTAACATAATTATAATGAAAACTTAACATAATTTGCCAAAACATAATTTCATACTCTAAACATAATATTCATGTCAAAATAAGACCATAAGTGTTAAAAACATATCTCATGACTACTATATACAATTTAATCCAAAAATGTCAAGTTACATGCTCAATACACAAAAGTATGCTCTCTAGTTGGCAAAATATACATAACTAAATAAAATGACGCATAATGCCTACTAGCTGGTGTCCACACACTAACATTATGCCTCTAGTACTTTTTTGATTAAACTCTTAGTTGAAAAATTGTGAACCACAGAGAATGAAATACAAAGGTCCCTGTAACTAATGCCAAAATACTATAATACATACAATGTAATTAATCATATAATTGCTAAGTGGGCACGTAAAATGTACTTCCAAACGACATTTAATTGAACAAGATTAATAGGAATAAATGATGCATGACCATTCACCTTATCTTCTCCTTTCTCTTGGACCACAGTCCATACTTGGCACTATTCATCTAGCTAAAGGTAAACTAATTCAAGCTTTGACAAGCTACTCATTATGTCCAAATGAGGGCATACCACGTAGTAACAGGAACTGAGTTTGAATTCCAAAACTCCAATACATCCTTACAAGCCTATACAAGTTATGCAAACAAGATTTTTCTAAACAAAACTAATTTGGAACAATAAATGATGCTTTTACACATTCTTTTCATACCAAATATATATATACATATTTAATATCCCATTTGGCAATAGAATTTTCTGAGCAATAAATACACATTTTTTCAATACACTGTTTTTCCAAACAATAATTCCTTTCAACAAACCACACACAACCAAGTACAAGGTATACACTATAACAAATTAATAGAGATTACATTTTCTCTTAACAATCAAAGTTTTTCAAATAAGTGAACTATTACCTCCAATGGCGTCAACACCTTAATCTACACAAAATATGAGACTAATGGTCATTAATGCAACACTAATAGTCACTAATACAAGTTCTTAAACACTAATCACACTCTAACTTTAGGGTAATGTTAATTAATCTCATAACCCTGACGTACTCTTATACACTTTAATTATCAAACTTAGTCATACTCATCCTCATTACACCTCTTGAACATGAATTTAACCTTTAAACACTCAAATCATTACTAATAATCCCTTAACATCATAGGATTTTAAGATATGATCATTCCCTTACCACAAATAATATCAAAACTATCTAAATAATATTTATATAACCTCAAAACACCTATTTAATTTGTACCCAAGAGCTAGGTATCATTAATGATGAAACCCTAGCTAAACCCATCACAATATCTAGTTCAAACGGAAGATTAGGTGTACAAGAGTGATTAAATGAGCTACTTTACCTATTTGAGAGCTGGAATTTGTGCACAATCAAAGCCTTGGTCCAAATCTTAGCAGGGTCACTTAATTTTGCTTCCAACTATTTTCTTTCTCTCCCTCTTCTTTTTTTTAATTTTTTGAACATTGAAAAAAATATTCTATATGCCATAGCATACGTGCTATAGAGTGTTAGAAAATCTCACTTAAGCTCAATAATTTGGGCTTGAATCGGTTCAATATCTATTTTGAACTCTAAATAAACAATCATAATACACAATATTAGGCCCAATTTAAATTATAATTAAGTGCCAAATAATTTATTAACATCCATAAACTTCAATCAACATAAATCCTCAAAATACATTTTTTCAATTAAATTCTCAAATGCACACATTTTTTCAATTAAATCTTTAAGTACATAGATTTTTTCATTTAAAAATAAATTCTCAAATTAAATTCTCCGAATCATCCACAATTTTTACAATTAAATTCCTAAATAAAATTTAAGATGTTACATATAAGATTTGATTCTGCACCATATTCTAGTATTTCCAACAAAACTCACCTATTATTTTGCATCATTTACTTACTTTCCAATTTTTTTATTAAGGAAAGGACTTATATGATTTAGCTCATATAAAAATTCAATAGAATCCACAGAAATGGTCCAAGTTGTTGCATAATTATTTATTAACCAATTACTATTAATATTTATATTAATAATATTATAAATAATATTAATAATTAATAATACTATAATTTGTACTAATTCGATGTTGAAATTGAATAGATAATGCTTAGATATTATACACGTATTTATGAGTTATTAGATTAAATTCCTCTATAAGTATTCTTTGAACCCAAAAACATAACTTAACTCTTGTGAGTTCTTGAATTCCAGCTTACCTAAACTTTTATGAATAAAAAAATAGCATGAAATTTTTAAGAAAAATGCCATCACACTTTGAGTTATATTTTATAATATTCAGCCATATTATACCCATGGATAATGATCAATTATACAATGAGCATAATTTATTAATTTATTGTTCAATAATAACAGAGATTGATACTAATATATAATTGATTAACTATACATATGCTCACCTATTATTTTGGGCTATTTACTTAATTTTCAATTTGTTTCATTGAGAGTAAGATTTATACAATGTAAATAAAATTCTATATAATTTAACAGTTATAACAATCTGGTACAATCCACGAAAGGATTCAAATTGTTGGATAATTAATTATTAACCAATTAATATAGATAATAATCTTAATAATTAATGATACTATAATTAGTAATATCTTTTTTACCTTCTAATTCAAACACCAAAACTGAATAGATAGTGTCCGGATGTTAGATATAGATTTACAAAACTTTAACAGTATAAGAAATTTAAAAGCTAAAGTATCCAACGAATTTGACAGTTTTGTAGATTGCAGTTAACAGCATTGATAATGTTTTTTAATCTTCCTAGCCAGCCAACAATTTCCCTCAACAGCACTGGAAATTTTTTAAGAGGTTAAATTAAAATTCGGCGAGCTAGATGATTCTGTCACGGAAATGCAAAAGACCAAAAATTCTTGGAACTTTAAAATTAAAACAAACGTCATAATCTCCCCGTCAATAATCATCTGTAGCCTCCGTTGTTGTGTTGTGTTTCATTTTTTAACACTCTCAGCCTCCCTGCGGTGCTTTCCATCGTGTTAGATGGAGCTTTATGGCCCATCCTGGAAAGCAACACCTTCAACCCCAACATCAATAACAATTCGAGTTCCAATTTTGCCGTTGCAATCGGTCAAGATATATCCCAAACCCTAAAACGCTGAAATTCCCCAAATTGTTGCTTCAGCCGCCGTTATCATTGCAACCATGTTTCCATGGAAAATTGCGAAGTCGGCAGAGGCGATGTTCTCCCGCTGGGCGACCAAGAGGGTTTGCAAATTTTTTCTGAAGAAGAAATTTGGGGAGTTTATTTTGGGGGATATTGACCTGGACCAGCTGGACGTGCAACTCACTCAAGGAACGATTCAGCTCAGCGATCTTGCGCTTAATGTGGATTACATTAATAAGGAGGTATTTCTTGTTTTCCCAGTTTTTAAGGCGCGCAGATAGGAAGTTGAGAACATGTTATACTTCAGCTGCGTTAATTCGCGTGTCTGTGATATATTAATTTTCCTTAGCAGTTAGAATGAACTACTGTACCTGTATAGAATTCATTCCCTCGGTGTCAGGGAATCGGGTGCTAAAACTGAGGTTGCTGAACAGCTTTGATGCTCATTGGACATAGGTTTTTCAAGTGGTAAACGATCCACTAATAAATTGATCAGGTTAGAAGGTGGGAAAATTATGAAGTTGGTATATTTCACAAGTGTCAGAATTAGAAGTGGTTTGAATTCATGAATTAATTTTCACAAGTATGAAGTGCATGAAATTGGAATAGCTAGGGTCCTTTGGATGATCTTGATTTTATATAAAGTAGCTCTGATTATTTATTCTTAGCAGTTATTGTTAAATATCACCAGTAACATTTTTTTTTCGTTAACTTATTACTTTCTTCTCGCTTTTTACAGTTTAGCAAGGCAGCATCTTTAATGGTCAAAGAGGGATCTATTGGATGCCTATTGGTTAATATGCCTTGGAGTGGTAAAGGTAGTCAGGTTGAAGTGGATGGGCTTGAACTAGTCATTTCTCCTTCCACAGATAAAATTCCAATGGGTGATGAAACTTGTGTTACTGGCAGTAATGATACTGAGCATCTCGAGTATGGCTCATCTAGGACTGGCCAAGATGTAACTGATGATGCGCTAAAATCATCTTTGATGGATGTCCATGAAGGTGTTAAAACTATTGCAAATATAGTAAAGGGGTTGCTCACCTGCTTCCATGTGAAAATGGAAAATGTAATTTTTGCATATCATCCATCATTAGATAATGGAGACAAGAAAACAGAATGCCATGGGACCCTAGTTCTTCGCATTTCTGAAATAGAGTGTGGGACATGTTTGTCAGAAGATGCTGATTCAAATGCTGATGTACTTGGAATTAACCGGTTAACAAATTTTGTGAGGTTTAAAGGAGCTATGTTTGAGCTTCTTAAAATAGACGAGGATGATAATTGTGCGTCTTCTTTATGTGAATTAGGAGCAGGATGTGGAGAACCTGTCATGACTGGGAAAAAAGAAGGATTTGGTGGGGAGGTGAAGTTAAGCATTCCTTGGAAGAGTGGGTCTTTAGACATTCGCAAAGTGGATGCAGTTGTTTCTGTTGATCCTATAGTCTTAAGATTTCAACTTAGCACCATTAAATGGTTCTTATGTGCATGGGAAAATTATGCTAATCTGGAAAAGAATGGACAAGTTTGTTCAAATCACAAATCAAGGGGATCTGCACAGCTGAAATCTACTTTGGTATGCCATTCGTCAAATTCAGTCTCTGTTGGCAGTGCTGATTACCACAATTTTCTGGATGATTCCTCTAATTTGACCTTGCTTGAACCCCATACTGAACCTTGGGTTCCTGAGTCTCGTCTTATATCAAATTGGGTACCATTTTCTGCTGATGTAAATCAGAAAGATGGTATTCGAGAACTTGATTTTGGGGCTAGGTAGGCTCTTTTCCTATATGCTATCATCTGGTTGCAATCACTTGAAATTCCTGTATAAATTTTCTGGTAACTGGATCCTCATCACTAGTTGAATGTGTGAGCATGCATATATTAAGTTTAGTGCTTACTGATAAAATATGGTTATATTGTGGTTTCTAATTTATTTTGGCTAAGTTAAGTCTGCATATTTCGCATCTTATAGGCCATTCCTAGATTTTTAATGACTCTTCAATGATCTGTTTGGCTGTGGTTAACTCTGTTGTTCTATTGGGATTCCTGCAGCGTGGATCAGTTTTTTGAATGCCTTGATGGAATACGGAGCTACCAATCAGCTTTAGGGAACAGTGGAATGTGGAACTGGACATGTTCTGTGTTTAGCGCTATCACTGCTGCATCCACCCTTGCTTCTGGATCTTTGCATACTACTTCTGGTACTTCATTTTGTTAATGTCTATAAGAATTAGTGGGCAGCTTAAACCATGCATTTTACTGTTCAATTTCTTTCACATCATGCTCTGTTATTATTATCTACTTACAGTCCCATTTCTAAGACCCATTTTAATAACGCAGGTGAAGAACATAATTTGATGTTCTTGATTTTGTTAAGGAAAAAAGAACAAATCATGACATTCCAAAATTGTCCTTCATTAAAGCCTTTAACCTGTATACCAAAATCAAATTTTCTTGTTCATATTAAGAGAAAGAGGATTATAATTATGAAGACCATATTTGAAAATAATTAATAATTGCTTCATGCATTTTGTAAAGGGTTTTATATCAAGGACTATGAAAAGCTTCTCGAAGGGATATTACTAATAGGACTGGAGGTAGTATTAAATTTATAATTTGCCATCAATTTTGCTTATTGCAGTTTTTGTCTCAATGGTCAATGGATGCCAATATTTTCAAAATGTAAATTTTTTTCCTTTTGTTGATGGATTTTTGGATACGAACTTTGGTTTATGCATGAACAGAGCAGCAACATGTGGAAACCAATCTCAGAGCAACTTTTGCTGGAATATCTGTTGTGTTGTCTTTCAGTGATGATGAACAGCGCTGTTATGGGCTACACACTGATAATGTGGTTGCAGACTGCAATGAAATTCTTCTTTCTCTTAAGGTAATGATATAACGTAGCTATGCTCTATCCCACTCCAACCTCTGCTCATCTTAGGCTTTCTTTGCTTGTGAGACCTGGTTCTCTGCTATATGATTTTGAAACAGTCATCCTCTCTAACTTGAAATGCTTTGAATTTTAACAGGTATGCCCTCAAGTTACAATTGTTGAGGGAATGATGAAAAATATGGAAGTTGCTGCTTTTTTGAATTCTGGAATCGATGCTGTAGATTCTGGTTTACAAGGATATAATAATACTAAGAATCAAAGTGCTTTGTTTCAACATCTACAAGCTGAGGTCCTTGGGGCTCTACCATCATCGGTCTCTTGTGATCTAGGTCCTGATTCTGATTCTTTACTTGGATTAGCTGCAATGGACTTTCCATTGGGAAATAGTGATAGCTTATTGAAAGTGACATTGTTTAAAACATCTGGTGTCACCAATTGCAAATTCACTTTGCAAGCAAGTTCTGACGGAAGTCTAACTGGGCCAGTATCGTTTTCTTTGAGCCTGCCACCATTTACTTTCTGGGTAATTTTTTCTGTCATAAGCGTGTTCACTAACCTGCTTAGGGATGTTGAACAATCGGTGGAAGTGCCCAATAAAGCAAACAAAGATATGTATAAAGCCTCAGATAAGAAGGAAGGTTCTGATTCATGTGTAACATTGCTCTCCACAACAGAACGTTTGCATGGTGATATATCAATTTCTGGTGCAAGGGTAATACTGTGTTTTCCTTTAGAAAGAGGTGAAGATCATGAGCGTTTCTTTTCATGGAAACAGTTTATTGCTCTTGATTTTACTTCACCATCACCTTCGAAGAAGAGTTTCACTTCAGACTGTATTCCACCATCAAATGCAAGCTCAAAGAGGTGGTTTCCTTCAGCAGACGCAAAATCTCTGCAACTCAGTTTTAGTGATTTATGCATGTACTTGATTACATCAACAAGTAATGATTGCAGTAGAATCAGTTCCTGTAATTTGCAGGATGAAAAGTTTTCTGCTAGTCGCCTTCTGTCTGTTGACAGCCAACCTGGTTGTTACTCTGTTATTAATGTGGTTTGGCAGGAGGGTCTGGTGACTGGTCCTTGGATTACAAAGAAAGCCAGGTTGTTAGCAAATTCTGATCAATTCAGGAGCAGAGATGATTTTGTAGGAAGAGGCTATGAGTTTGCATCTGCATCAACGGTCAGAGATCTGGAGGAATTGAAATCTCAAACTCAACAAGAGATGATTCTAAGTTCATCATTTTTCATTCATGTTCATCTACCTCAACTTATGATCTACCTGAGTGATTCTCAATATAAAGATATACATCGCCTTGTACATCAGATGCTAAATGAATTGGAATGTGTGGCTTCTCAGTCAGTCACTGATGAGAAAGATTCTTTTAGTTCACAATCATCAGTGTTTGTGGAATGTGATTCTTTAGAAATTGTGATTAGCATGGAGACATCTGAGAGTATCAGGAGCTCATTGCAAAGTGAGCTTCCAGGATCATGGGATCGATTGAAACTGAAAGTTCAAAACTTTGATTTGCTGTCTGTCACAAATACTGGCAGTGTTAGGGGTGCCGAATTTTTCAGATTAACTCATGGTGAGGGCAAGTTGTGGGGTTCCATCACCAGGGCTTCTGATCATGATTTTCTTCTAATTACCAGTGACAACTCCGCAATGAAACGAGGTAATGGGGGAGGCTCTAATCCATTGTCCTCTAGACATGCTGGTTCTGATATCATACATTTGTCTGACCCAGAGATTTCCCATGTTTCTACATCTATAACTGTAGCATGTAGTACAGTTGTTGCTGTTGGTGGTCGCTTGGATTGGTTCAGTGCAATATCATCCTTTTTCAGTTTTCCCTCTTCTGATTCCAATGAAGCAGGTGATAATACTGTACCAGATGAAGATGTGAAAGGATGTTGCAGGACCGACTTTGTTCTCAACTTGATTGATATTGCATTATGCTATGAGCCCTATGTGATGAATCCAGTGGTTCACAGTGAAGTCAAAGATTCTGAGTCTGACTTCTCTTATTCCAATGAGGATATGGGTGATCAACATGCTTCTTGTCTATTAGCTGCATCCTTGTTGACACTTTCAACTACACCTTTGGGAGATTTAGTTGAGAATTGTTATCAAATTAGAGTACAAGATCTGGGGCTTCATGTGGTGTCAGGGACAAATACTCTTTGTGGCACTTATAGCGTAGAGCATCTTCAGAAGGTTGGTTTCATTAAAGTTGCACAGGAAGCAATTATGGAGGCTAATTTTAAAACCAACTGTGCCAGTGGTATTCTTTGGGCTGTTGAATTGTCTAATTCTCACATCCTTGTCGAAACTTGCCATGATACAACTGCTAGCCTGATTCGTTTGGGTACTCAACTTCAACAATTATTTGCCCCTGATGTGGAGGAATCAATTGTCCATTTGCAAAATAGGTGGGATATTGTTCAACAGGCCAAGATGAGGAACCTTGATTATGAAACTAATAACCCTAGCTGTGATACCCTGGCAACAGCTTCTCAACAATGCCCTTCTAAGGCATTTTTGGAGGATGGATCTAGAATGGCTGGCTTAATGGATGAGATATGTCATGATGCATTTCAAGTGAATAACAATAGTACATTGCAGCCTTGTTCTTCTGAAACAGGAATTTACTTGCCGCTTGATGGTATCTTTATTGATGATATGAATCAGATGAGTATGGATGAGCCTGAGGTCCTCTCTCATAAAGGATTCTTGTCTGAGTCAATGCCTGTAATGGGAACAGAAGGTAATCACGCTTTGTTTTCACAGGAGGGTTTCTTTCCAGAGGTTATTGAAGAATATTTTCTCTCCGACTTATGCCCCCTGCCTGAAATATCGATGGATATACATTCTGAGGGACTACATAGATACAAGAAGAGCAATGTGGAAGGTAGAGATATTGAAAGAGGAAGTGGTGGATGGTATCAGGGCAACTCTCTAAAAGTTGTAGAAAACCACATTTCAGAGAAAAATGAACAAACTGAACTAAAACATTCTGCAGATGGCTTACTCCTATCTGATGATAATTCCTTGCGAAATAAGGCCTGCGGACGTGTGATTCTTAAGAAAATTGATCTAAAGTGGACAATATATGGTGGTTCTGACTGGCCAATGGAGAATGGACAGCATTCTGGGAGAGATACAACTGTTTGCTTGGAACTTGCATTGTCTGGGGTGAAATTTCAGTATGATATATTTCCAGTTGGTGGAGTAAGTTTATCCAAGATGTCTGTGTCTGTTCAAGATTTTAAACTGCATGACGGAAGCAGCAATGCTCCGTGGAAGCTGGTAGGAGTGAAAACATAAATGCTCTGAAATATTGTCCTTTATTTTAGTCTTTTCACACTTGTAAGGTCAAATTTTTATGATTCTCTACTTTTTGAATTGAAGGTGCTAGGATATTATGATTCAAAAGGCCACCCTAGAGAATCTTCCTCAAAAGCGTTTAGATTGGACTTGGAGGCTGTCAGACCAGATCCTCTAACTCCTCTTGAGGAGTATAGGTATGATATTTAATATTCATGTGATCTGTTTTGCATGCATGCAATAAATTACAGCACTAAACCATGGAAGTTGCATCAACTACCTCAATGATTTCTAGAATTTGGGGTCTTGTTGGGTAGGTGTCCCATCATGATGTTGGTATGTGAGATTTTAAGCCTCATTCAGTAGTACTTCGCAGAAAGTTGATAGAAAACAGATGATAATATTTGTATGTTTGAGTTTTTTTTTTTTTTATGATCATTTGATCTTATCTAGTTTTCAATGATCTAATTATTCTTTTGCCAAAACAGATGCCAATATCTAACTTACGAGCTAGGATTATGGATAGGGATTAGGTCCTTGGCTTCTTTATAATTGAAATGTTTGAGGTGAAGATCAAAGGACATCCTCCACAAATTGGGTGCTAAAAGTATGACTATTGTCCAAACAAGACAAGAAAAGAAAACTAACAGATAGTAGTGCATAACAAATTAGTGGCCCTCACATATGGTAAAATATGACCTAATAGTTGGTCATGTCAAAAGTTTCATGTTTCTTTTCTTTAATAATCTGGACATGTTTGTTTGTTTGCCTCATTTGGATAAAAAGGATCTGTTTGGAAATAATTAATACTTAGCTTTGATTCTACCAGATGGAAATCTTTATTCATCTAAACAAACATGAACTTATGAAGGAACTACTATGCGTTAAGTTCTTCAAACAGCAATTAAGTGTCTTTATGCCTCTTTTCAGGTTACATCTCGCCTTCCTTCCTATAAAATTGCATCTACATCAATCCCAGCTTGATTTTCTTGTTGGGTTTTTTGGGGGTAAAAGCTCATCACCTGATCAATCTCCTGATCACCATCAAGATGTGGAGGATTCACATATTTTGCTAGAAAGGAGGAAAAATCTTGTATATAATTCTATTGCACGTGAGGCATTGCTTCCTTACTTCCAGGCAAGTAGCATTCTGTTTTCCTTGTCTCGTTAAATCTATAGTTTCTTGGATTTCTTGTATATAATTCTATTGCACGTGAGGCATTTCTTTTTTTTTTTTCCTTTTTAATAATTTAGTGTGCTGTATTTATTTGAAAAGAAGTGTAAAAATCTAATCAATGTGTTTTTACAACTAACTTTAGAAAGGCTTTTCCCTATATAATTCGTCATGTTGCTATGATCAATTATCTTAACTTATTAATCGATTTTATGGTGAGGGACCTGTTTGAGAAGATTTATGATCTAGTCAGCATCTAACTCTACCTTGATCTTATAGAATGTTTGGACAGTCTTCCCTGGAGTTGTTCTAACTTATCATAAAAGCATATTTATATATTGATTTTGGTTACAGAAGCTTGATGTAGGGCCTATCCTTGTCCGGGTGGACTACAGTCCCCATCATGTAGATCTAGCTGCATTGAGATGTGGGAAGTATGTGGAACTTGTAAATCTTGTTCCCTGGAAGGTAATATTTGCTCCTTTTGTCCTGTTTCTATTAGGAGTACAGCTTCCCTTGTGTTTATTTCATTTACTGCTTAACTTGCCACCTGATAGTTCATTTACTGCTATGCGTTAAGTTCTTCAAACAGCAATTAAGTGTCTTTATGCCTCTTTTCAGGTTACATCTCGCCTTCCTTCCTATAAAATTGCATCTACATCAATCCCAGCTTGATTTTCTTGTTGGGTTTTTTGGGGGTAAAAGCTCATCACCTGATCAATCTCCTGATCACCATCAAGATGTGGAGGATTCACATATTTTGCTAGAAAGGAGGAAAAATCTTGTATATAATTCTATTGCACGTGAGGCATTGCTTCCTTACTTCCAGGCAAGTAGCATTCTGTTTTCCTTGTCTCGTTAAATCTATAGTTTCTTGGATTTCTTGTATATAATTCTATTGCACGTGAGGCATTTCTTTTTTTTTTTTCCTTTTTAATAATTTAGTGTGCTGTATTTATTTGAAAAGAAGTGTAAAAATCTAATCAATGTGTTTTTACAACTAACTTTAGAAAGGCTTTTCCCTATATAATTCGTCATGTTGCTATGATCAATTATCTTAACTTATTAATCGATTTTATGGTGAGGGACCTGTTTGAGAAGATTTATGATCTAGTCAGCATCTAACTCTACCTTGATCTTATAGAATGTTTGGACAGTCTTCCCTGGAGTTGTTCTAACTTATCATAAAAGCATATTTATATATTGATTTTGGTTACAGAAGCTTGATGTAGGGCCTATCCTTGTCCGGGTGGACTACAGTCCCCATCATGTAGATCTAGCTGCATTGAGATGTGGGAAGTATGTGGAACTTGTAAATCTTGTTCCCTGGAAGGTAATATTTGCTCCTTTTGTCCTGTTTCTATTAGGAGTACAGCTTCCCTTGTGTTTATTTCATTTACTGCTTAACTTGCCACCTGATAGTTTGGTGTTGAGCATCAATTATTGCCTTATCAGTCATAGGTCGCGTTGTTGGAAATATCTGATAATATGCTTACTTAATTTGGCCAGGGGGTTGAGCTGAATCTGAAGCATGTTGATGCAGCTGGCATCTATGGATGGGGCAGTGTTTGTGAAACAATTGTTGGGGAATGGTTGGAAGATATATCTCATAATCAGGTTTAGTGACAGAAATTATTTTCCTTCTTCTCGTGAGGATTCTTTCCTCTTGATTAATAGTTTTTATCTCATACTTCAATCTGTAGATTCATAAAATACTGCGGGGCCTTCCTGCTGTACGGTCATTAATTGCAGTGGGAGATGGTGCTGCTAAGCTGGTTTCATCCCCATTAGAGAACTACAAGAAGGAGCGGAGGGTGCTCAAGGGTATGCAGAGAGGTATGCTAGATAACACTATCTTTGTGATTCCTCTGTATAATTTGTCTTCTTTTGGGAAGAAAAAGTAGGGATCACAAGTAACAGTAGGTTTTTCTCAATTTTATTTTAATTATTGATTATTGATTTCTTAAATCATGTTTTGAACTGAACAATCTGCTGGTAGGGCAAGCAATTTTGAAAGCCAATATTTCCTCATGTATGTGGTGGCTCCCAAAAAAATATGGGAATATAGGACTTCTGCTCTCACTCCACTGTTGCTGGACTCTCTTCAACTGTTGAATTTTAGTATTTATACTATTACACTTATTAGCATGGTTATAGAATCTGGTACATGTATAGTAAATTTCAAAATTAAATGTAAAGTATGAGAGATATCAGTTATGGTTGAATAGGCATTCATGCCATCACACCAACTGTGGTCAATAGGGTATTCATTTAGTTCAACCAACTCAACAAATATTTTCATATATGTTTTACAGTATGTTGAAAACTTTATAAAGTACGGTAAGGTCTCAATGTTTATTAAATTTGTATTTGAAACAGCTTAATATTTACATTTATAGCAATCTTTTGCTCGAGGGTGAAACTTCCATTTATAAGGAGATTATTCTGGCTTTGTTAGCGTGTCTGAAAGTGTGCTTTGGGGTTAGGGAAATGTGGACCCCCTTTTTGCTAGGAAAAACAATCATGTTTTTACTAGTCAATTTGTTTTGCGTCTATGTTAGCAAGAATTGGACGATTTCATTTTTGCTGCCCTTTTTCCTTTACCAACATCTGCGTTAATTTTAACTTGTGCAAGACTTGTTTATTTTTCTGGGCATTAATGATTCTCTTCTATTTTTTTGTTAGTTGCCATCATAATGGTCAATCTGCTTTGTAGGTACAATTGCATTTCTTAGAAGCATTTCTGTTGAAGCTGTTGGACTTGGAGTACATTTAGCTGCGGGAGCCCATGACATTCTGTTACAAGCAGAATATATACTCGCTACTTCTGTAACATCGCCGTTAACAGACATTCGATCGAATCAGCCTCATGATGCCCGCCATGGTATTAAACAGGTGAAGTTTCAAGCAAGTTGGTATCTATACTTCCTTCTCACATAATTGGATGTTTTGTTTAACCTAATTCCTGCATTTGTTGAATGAAAAAGGAGGAATGATGTCAGCTCCCTCCCTGCTGCTTGTGTATTATTCTGTTTGCCTCAAGGATGATCCCTCTCCCTCTGCCTTCATGATCTTCTTTTGCTTCAACAATCATCTCCTCCTATCCCCCCGGGGCTTGGGGGAATGGAATTTTGTATCTTATTGAGAACATGTTTGCGTGCACATGAATGTTAATATTCTCATCAGAAGAGTCCAAATTGATTGGCCCTCCTGTGGAAGTTATCTTCTTAGACATGCTTATTTTAAAGCAAAATAGTATTTGTTTCAGAAAATGAGGTTTTTGGCTAACTTTTGCTAAAGCACTTATTGATTTCTCAGGCTTATGAGAGCCTCAGTGATGGCCTGGGAAAATCTGCTGCTGTGTTAGTTCAGAGCCCCTTGAAAAATATCAACGCGGCTCAGGTGCAGGGCCTGCCCTGGCAGCTGCTATTCGAGCAGTTCCTGCAGCTGCCATAGCTCCTGCTTCTGCTTGTGCTAGTGCTGTACATTATGCTCTTCTTGGCATCAGAAATAGGTCAGATAAAATTGTCTTGATTTGAAGTAATTCTTGTTTTAGAGTTCCATATTTTAGCAATTCCCAAATAATTTGGAGTTTATTTACCGACAAATTTTTTTCAGCCTTGATCCCGAACGTAAAAAGGAGTCCATGGAGAAATATTGTCCATCACAACCTTGGGAAGAAGACTGATTACAGGTGCCATTGGCTACAGATGATTGTCTCTTGGTAATGCATTCATGGTGTTACAACTATGGAATGAAATGTTTCTTAATTCTATGTGCAGAATATCATATAAGGAAGGATTGACTGATTGTTCCTTTTGCTTCACTGACCAGGCGAGGAGATCCGAAGGGCTCTCCATGGAGTGAGGTGTCATGTATCATGTGAGTTGGGCCTCTTTTCTAGCTAACATATTTTTGTGTTAAATCATATATTATTATATTGGGAAGATTTATTTAGAAGGAATAAAGAACTGCATCAATAATATCAAGTGGAGGAGCACCAAGTTATGGGACCGTTAGCTGAGTGTTTTTACCAAAGATAACAATAATGATAGTTACAATCAAGCTAATTTTTTCTCTTACCATTCTTTTGGTTTTTTTTTTTTTTTGGGGGGGGTACTTTTTTCCCTCATGATTCTCATAATGAACAATTTGAGTCTGTATGTGATGTCTTGTGATAATCACTTGAGATGAATAATATCTGAAGTTTCATTGGATCTTTCTCATGGTATTAATTGAATCTTTTGATTGGCTGCAGATGTATAGTAGTGGGACCAGTTAGCGTATTCTTTTGTCAGAGGAATTGTAAATGCTGTAAATAATGGAGAGTGCTTTCTATTCTCATTATCTGGGGATATCTTCTAAGCATAGGGCTTCCATTTGCAATTTAGCATAACTAACTGTGTACATAATATCATTCTTTTAATTTCAAGATATCAATGTATATTGCCGTTATTTTTTTTTTTTGTAAATAGCACACGCTTGTTACTATGCTTCCAATTGTATAATTTTAGAAGAGATTGTAGAAGAATGATTTTGAGTATTTGGATTACTGATTTTGCAGGGCATTTCATTGTTTTTTGCTTGTGATTGAGTTGGCAAGCATATCGATAACAATGCAGAAAACTATTTATTATTGATTTTTATGCCATTAGAAATTGCGATCAAGGTCAAGGGCAATTCATAAATCTGTAAAGCATTTTTATTTTTCATTAAATGTACGCATGTTCTGTTATTAATTATTATTGAGACCTGGCTATGATGGATGGAAGGCTTCACCATGAGATGACTTTAATTAACGCTCAATTTTTCCCCAAATCGCAAGAAAATGTTTTGATTATAATTTAAAATGGATACTTATTGTTAGGTGTTTTGTTTATGTTGAAAAAATTTAGCTGAATGCATTAATTTTGAATACTATCTTCCCTAAATGGTCAATTAAAGTCGGTTAAAGCATGTATTTTATGTTCAAAAGTATTAAATATTTGGATAGTGTAATTAATATAGTTTTTTAAAGTATATATTTAATAATGGGTGTAGTTAATAATTTTTTTAATTAAGACAGTTTATTAAATAAAAGTAAATATATAAAAATTTATAATTTTAAATATCATCAATTAACTTGGTTAGAATGTACATTAATTACAAATATTTTATACTTAACAAGGAGAGTATTAAATAATTCAATGTGACGTATGATCTTAAGAGATTAGTTTTATAGTTACTGATTATGGGGATATTTTAGGTTAACCAACAAAAAATATTAAATGCAATAATATTTATATTACATGTTTTAGACCGCATGATTCATATTCACAATGAAAGTAGTAATCCTTATCCAAAAAAAAAAAAAAATTGAAAGTAGTAATCTATCCAATGAGTGTTGCTAAAACGAAGTGCCAAATTATGCAAATTATTCCTTTGGCTATGCAAATTAAGAATTCTTGTTCCATCTCATCTTCAGCCCAACATGACATGATGGTAAAGGGCTGGAAGGGGTGCCAATTTTTGAGCTGAAACCTTCCCAATGTGATTAAAAAAAAAAAGTTAAAAGCTTATAATATCCTTATGTCACGAATTCAAGATTCTTTCAAATCATATGCATGAAATTTTAACAAGTCGGTATGCTCGTTTTAAAATACTAAGGTTCCTAGGTGCTGTTAAAATAAAATATTCAGTCAAGTTGAAGTTCAGCTGTTCAAAGATTACTGTTGGTTTCTTCTCAGTTGTGGTACAAGAACAGAAATTACAAATTTCCTTCTATCTCGTTTCGCATTTTTCTCTAACAGTGGAAGACAGATAATCTATCACCCAGCATTTGTTTCACTAACTTTTTGAAAGAATCTGATAACGAAGAAGTAATACATGTCTCGGCAGACATATAACAATAACTTGTTGCTAGAAAACGAGTGGTCGATCCCTCCATAAGAATTGGACATATTACATATATAAACCAATAACGATCTACTACTGCAAACATTTGTACAATGATCAAACTGCTAAAGGTACCATGCATCTTTCTACTTCTAGTTAATGGATAAGAAACATCACTTAATTTGCATCTCTAGTCTAGATTTTTGTGAATAAAGTCAGCACAAATTCTAACAAACCCCTCGGAAAATCTTCACAAGAATGAAACTCCCTCCTGGAGATTCGACCAATAATATAAAGTTCAGCACATCTTCTGACCACCTCCATAAAATAGTCCCTGTGACAAAGTAAAGCAACTGGTTTAATAATATCTCTGTCTGCAAAATTTACTACCCTATATCCCACCGCTTAGCACATAATAGTAGTGAACAGAAAAGGGACACATTTACACTCAAATAGGTTTAAGAGCAGATGATGTCTCTCTCTCATCAAATTGGGTTCAATTCTTCAAATTACAGCCAATACGAAAACAAATTTCTAATTACCTGGTTGTCTTTGCTAGGCCTTTCATTTTCAGCTACTCTCTGCAGAAACCCATCGGTACTGCAACTCTTCTTATCCTTGTTAGAAGTACTCTTTCTTAAGCCCAGCCTCTCCTTCCATCTGCTTGAGCTCTTCGGTACTCTTGGCAATACGTCATCGTACGAGTCATCACTCACAAGAAGCTCATCTCTCAGAGTAGTCGTCATCTTCTTGGACGTCATGGATTTGTTGTTGGGCAAAAGCATGCCTTGGGAAAACACTTCATCTGCTGAGATCATGGCATAGTTCTTCACACAGAATTCGAAATCCGAAGACACAGGAGCTTCTCTGTAAATGTTTTCACGCTTCATATTGATGGCTTGCTGGGCATCCACAAAATCACTGGAGAAGGAGATTCTTGGGTCCATAGTCGAATGAAGTAGCAAGTTAGCTAGCTTGAAAGAAGCAAAAGGATAATGCACTAGATACACAGTGCAACAAGGGTTAGTGATATTGTTGCTTATAGTTTAGACATGTTTATGGAGCAGTTTAGTGAGGGTTAGGGCATGGGCTTTTGTAGGGTGTTCGTCTTTGTTGTTCTTGCATTTCACATGTGAGGATGTTGAGAATTTGGACATTTATATATAATGTGGGGATGGATTCTCGTGTTTAGTTCCTTTTAGTGGACATAACATGTTGCTTGGATTTGTCATTTTATGCTAGGAATGTGGGTCTCGTATTCACTTTAGTTCTTTTGGGATATATAACAAAACAATTATTGACCCATCGCAAGAAATATGTTTAAAAATTAATGGGTGATACTAATAATGAGGACACAACTTATGCTTGTGATTTTGACTATTGAGTCTATATAATGGCCTTTTGTTAATTAAATAACTAAAATCTAAAAGCGTCCCATTATAGTTTTATTTATAATGTTTGAGTTAAGCAATGCAGGAATTGAATCTCTTTCAAACATGAGCTATGTCCTATGAGGCAAACTTGTTCTTGATATACAAATTCTACAAGTTTACAAACCTAGCTACTTTATAAAATTTATACTCGAGCTTAATGCTTTACAAAAGTACTTTCGTTAACTTGGCTAATAAAATTTCCAATCATAAAAAGATACTTTTTTTCCCCTGATCCAGCTTTGAAAAAGTAAATAATAAAGGTGTTGAAGGGGAAAGAAGTGAACTTAGTAAAACGAATTAACATGGAGTTGAATTTTTAATATGAGGATTTGATTTTCCACTTTGATGAAATAGCTAGAAGATGCTCAGTGTTTGAATTTTGAAGGCCATGTGGGCTTGAGATTCCTAATTAACAAACAGAGCATTGCTATACTCTTCCTTTTGTATATTTAATAAGAAAAAGATAGTTGTAAGCACAAGGATGGAAAATGTATATACGTACAAAGCATGCAACTTTAACTCCATTATTATATATACTCCTTAATGATAATTCATTTGTCAAAAGAATCTTTCTCTGTTGAAACTATATATATTGACCTTCACGTGTCTCCTTTTCATGTGCCTTTCACATGTATGTTTACACACACACACACACACCGCACACACACACTCCAAATAACTTTCTAACGCGATCTAAATCTACATAAACATCAAGTAAACTAAATTAATCCCATTTAAATATGTTAAATTTTTGTTGATGCTTCATGTTTTAGTGTTTGGCATCTGTAAACACGTATGTAATGGTCAAATCCTGGACGTTGCATAAACGTCCTCATAGGTTGCATGACAGAAGGTTAGGACTGAGAGCTTGTCTCCCTTTTGGTCTCCTCTTGACCTGGCAAAGCTTGTCTCTTGCAATCCATTTGCTTTTAATTTCTTAATTAATTATTCTGATTAATATCATAATTAAGCATTCTCAAAGCTCGAGGCTCATTTTACTATGTCAGATCAAGAAACCCTTATTTTATTCGTTGGGTTCTCTGAATCTTGCCCTGATAGCAACCTGCAGTTAATTATAAGCAATTCACATTTCATCTCTCTCATCAGGGGAATAGTTCATACAACGTACTCATCAGCTTCATCACTTTCCATTAACTTCATGTTTAGTATCACAAAATGATTGAAAACTAATTATAAAATTTGTGGAGCTGATTGAAATTAAGAAGTTCAAATTTGTAATGTTGCATGACAGATAACAGATCTATATATTAAGCAATGAATTATGATGTTAAACTTGCTTATATATATGATTAGAAGTGAAGTTAATTGAAGGTTTACATTTCCGGCTCAACAAGCTATATGCATGTATACATTCTTTGTATGCACAAAAATGTCACTGAACCCCTGACACAAGTGATGATGACTTAATAATGAAAGCCATATTTAGAGATAAGAACATATTCGCACTTCCTCGAGACATTCGAAACCTATGGATCTGAATAAAAAAAACAAAAGCAAAAAGATATGAGAAAGATGAGAGCCGCACTTTATAGCTAGAGTCTACACTAAGCTAAGCCGTTTCTGAATGATTATGTCAACCTACGAAAGCAACGAATTAACTTTCACTTTCACAGGCACCACATTTAAAGGTGACTGATCGCCATGTAGCATCACATAATTGGATCGATCTTCATTAAATATTTTTCACACATTGTATTATATTGTTGTGTTAAGAGCCTGGTCGTAAATAACTTTGCTAGCTGTTCTCGATTCCATGATCAATTTTATGGAAATAAACTATCAAATTTACAGCAAACCGAATTGTTTGTTTAGGTGAACAGCGAAATTCATTCCGCAGATTCGGTAAATCTAGGTATTACTTTCCAGAAGACGATCAGGTAGCAAGGGTTCAATTATTTTATTATTCAAGGTTAGGCAGAAACAAGCTGGTCGTACATTGGGTTGAAAACAAAAGGAAAGGAGAAGAATAATGATACTGTGGATTGTGCATTAATGGGGGAAAAAAACCTGATCACTGATGACAATGATCGCTTGCTAGAAACGAAGCGTTACTCAAAAATATACCGCTAATTTAGAACAAGTTACAGCACGCTGGACTCGGGTTGAGATACGTCATATAAAGTTAAGTTGGTTGCTGTTTCGTTTGCCAGTAGATATGTACTGAAGATAGAAAAATAATTCAAGGAGGAACTACTGGGGTAAGAGTTCATGGAATTATAAATTTTATTTTCATATGTACAAAAAGACATTGCAACTTGGTTAATAAATCAACTTATGACAACAATCCTCACGGTGAGGTTGATTACATGAATTGCATAATATAATTATGTTTGATTAATA